GTTCATTCACACCAGGTAGTGGAATATAAATACGTTTTTCGAAACTAAACAAATTTCATAAAATATACATGTAACATATTTCAATCCGAAGTTTACCGTCGTCGAATAGCTGTATCAAGTGCCCAAGGAATATTAGTTGCGGCAAGAACAAGAACACCAGCATTATCAGTTCCAACACCTAATAAAGCAGCAACAATAAAATGAATTCTATTTTATGGCTATAGACAAAATGTAAACCTTGCATTTGAACAAGAAACTCAGTTTTGACACGTCTGGACGATTCTGATTCTGTATCATTACGTTGTCCACAGAGAGCATCGATTTCATCAATAAATACAATACACGGTTGTCGGTCACGAGCAAGTTCAAATACACCTTTGACACCTTTTTCACTCTCGCCAAGCCATTTCGAAAGAAGATCCGATGAACTGATCGAAATGAATGTGCTCTTACATTCAGTAGCAATGGCTTTGGCTAAATATGATTTACCAGTACCAGGTGGCTAGAATGAAAATTTGAAGATAAATCTAATGAGAAAAAGTGGTAACTTACTCCATAAAGTAAAATGCCCGACCACGGCTTACGTTTCCCTAAACAAAGATAAAAGAACAATAGATGATATACACTGTCAATTCTAAAATACCTTGGAAAAGTTGTGGAAATTTCACTGGTAATATAACAGCTTCTTTCAGTGCTTCTTTAGCTTGGTCTAATCCTATGACATCTTCGAACGTTACATTTGGGTCTGTGACAATTGCATCTATAATCAAAGAAACATAGTACTATTGACAGTTGCACAAAAAACAATGGTGACACTGACTTTCAAATTTTTGCATCATACGCTTTCTATCTGGATCACCATTATCGTCATCATCGCCTTTATTATCTTTTGAATTGCCACGTCCAGTACTAGTGTCAGCTACAGCTTTCTTTTTAGTTGGACCTTTCTTCAATAGTTCTTTAATTTCTTCTGCTCGTTTCACATAACTTTCTATTTTAGGTCGTATCGTTTGTTTCATCTGTGGATTCATTGCTCCATCTAAATTCGAAAATTATGCTAGATAGAACGATCAGTTTTGTTTTCACTAACATTTCATCGCTTGGAAAAGCCAATCGGCTGCAGTCATATAATGTTGTGCGGCAGCTTCATAATTGTGCGCTTTGTCTTCTGCTGTAGCTTGTTCGGCGCTCTTAATTCCTTTCTAGAATACAATGTGTTATGTTTAATTATATTTAGTTTCATACTCATTACCTGAATATACTCTTGTTGACCGCTACTCATTGTTTAAACGCTAATAATTAATCAGCTGAGTAGATTATATGAAAAATATTAAAATAAATAGAACCACTAATAAATACAATAGAAAAAATTTATATCTAAATGAAATAATTATTAATCAACTGTATTGAATTGTTCTCATGAAATAATGGATGAGATGATTAAATAAAATAAAAAAGAGAAGAATAAATATTGTTTGTTTATTCATATTTGAATCAAAAGAGTCCACAAGCAGCACCCACTGTTGAATAAAGGATGATTCATCGAAATCGTGCATTTATCTGCTTAGCATTACTCGAATAGGAAATAATACTGAAACTTTGAATATAGAAAAAAACCATAAATGATCAGAATAGATTAGAAAAACAAGAGATTCTGAGAAAAATCGAAATTGTCACAAAACTTCTTATCATCGCATGACCTAATTTATTAATCATCCTAGTAGATGGCAGTAGTTGTCATTTTAAAGGAATTACAGCGAAGACATGTTTGTATCAGATTATCTCAATCAGTTCAAATTTTTCCATACTTATGTATTTCTCACAAATGATTTCAACGTCGAACAATGCAAAGTTACAATAATCGAGCATATTTCCATTCTTACAAAAACGATCGTATCGCTTACTGTTAGCTTGCTGTCTTCTATCAACAAATCAAATCAGAGATCTTTCGTAGTTATTAGTAATGCGTGAGACATTGTGTCAATCACGTCCAAAAACTGTTTATTCAAACACAAAATTAAAAAGAAAAGATTTTATTCGAAAAATCAAAATAATACTTTCTGAAAATATATGCATAATATTTGTTCATTATTTAAGAATGGATTGTCGCTAAAAAATGATTTAAGTATCAGCAACATTTTCCGAATAATGCATGTGGATAGAATAGCATAATTTTGATTTCACTCCTTTTATGGGTTACTTGCACCAAACGTTTCAGTAAAATCTCTATATTTGGCCATATCTATTTCGTTAATTGAAGATTTTATTCTATCAAGAGTAGCTAGCATATCGGACTAGAAAAGAATCACCAATTCGTACTGTTTTTCTTAACGCCATCTTAAAAAAAGTTACCATAGTTACTGGTGGTTCGCATAATTCATCTGGCTCTATTGTGTCTAATGTGAGAGATTGAGCATCTGGATCTCCTGGTGAACAAGCAACCCAAAGTTCTCGCGGACCATAAGGCTTTGGATTTTGTACCTATTTAGGCAGAGAGTATAAATACTTGAAACATCCATTATCAAAGAAAATCTATTCGTTTGAAATGTGTTGC